TTTAAAAATCTGGGTTTTAAATAGCAGAAAACCCATGCGGGTGTGGTGGTGCATGCTTCTAATTCTAGCATTTGGAGAGGCAGAAGCAGGTGGATCTCTATGAATTTGAGGCCAGCCTGAAGTGAATTTCAGGTCAGTCCAGGGTACAATAGAGAGAAAACCCGGTCTCGAAAAACCAAAACAACAACAATAACAAAACCAAATAAATTTGTATTTCTTTAAGATTTATTTATTATTATTTTGGGGGAGGGGAGGTTGAGATAGGGGTTTTCTGTGCAGCCTTAGCTGTCTTGGAGTTCACTCTGTAGACCAGGCTAACCTCGAACTTTTTTACTTTTTAGACTTTTAAACTTGATCTCATGTATCTAGGTGTTTAGCCTGCATGTATGTATGTGTACCATGTGTGTGCCTGGTGCCCATGAAAGTCAGAAGAGGGGGGTCTGATCCCTTGGAACTGGAGGTAGGGGTGGTTGAGTAACCACATGGGTGCTGAAAACTGAACCTAGGTTCTCTGCAAGAGCTCTTAACCACCGAGGCACGTCTCTGTCCCACATTCATTTTAGAGGACAACTTGTAGGAGTCAGTTCTCTCCTTCTGCCCATGTGAATTTCAGGGAGTAAATGTCAATTGTCAGGCTTGGTGGTAAGCACCTTTATCATTGGAGTCATTCACTGGCTCTAGTTTTACCTTTTCTTTTTTTTTAAACAGGAACTCATGTAGCCTCGGCTTGCCTCAAGTTCACTATGCCGCTGAAAATGACTTTGAACTCATCGATCCTCCTGCCTCTCTCTTCCAAGTGGGATTACAAGCATGTGCCACCGTGCTTATCACCATCGTGACAACCTTTTTTCTTTTTCAGAGACAGGGTTTCTCTGTGTAGCCCTGGCTGTTCTGAAACTCACTCTGTAGACCAGGCTAGCCACAAACTCGTGGAGATCGACCTGCCTCTGCCTCCCGAGTGCTGGAATTAAAGGTGTGGGCCACCACTGCCCAGCTTTGACAACCTTTTAAATTTTATTTTTCCAAACTGGCATTTTGAGCACAAAAGCACCAGGTAGTGTACAGGCTCTGGAAATAGTTTTGCCAGACCCTGCCTGGGGTATCTCATGGTCCAGACTGGGAGCCCCACAGGGAGGGGGTCTTAATGTGCAGTGGATGGACAGAGAGATGGGTCAGCTACATTGATGTTTGTGTGACACATTCATGCCCACTACTCTCAGAGGCCAGAAGATGCTAGATCTCCTAGAACAGGAACTATAGACAATTTTAAGTTGTCATATGTGAGCTGGGAATTGAACTTTCTTTTTTTAAATGTTTTATTTATTTATTATATATAATACATTTTGCTTCCATGTATATCTGCACACCAGAAGAGGGCACCAGATCTCATAACAGATGGTTGTGAGCCACCATGTGGTTGCTGGAAATTGAACTCAGGACCTCTGGAAAAGCAGTCAGTGCTCTTAACCTCTGAGCCATCTCTCCAGCCCCATGGGAATTGAACTTTCATCTTCTGGAAGAGCAACTGGTGCTTTTAACTGCTGAGCCATTTCTCCAGCCTGGACTTTAAACTTTTGATTCAGTTTCCAAATGCTAGGATTCAGCCACCATGCCTTTCCTTCCTTCCTTCCTTCCTTCCTTCCTTCCTTCCTTCCTTCCATTCTTTCTGTTCTTTTTTTCTTTCCCGTGGTGGTACCTGGGATTGAACCCAGGGCCTCATTCATGCTTGGCAAACATTTTACCAATTGGCCTACATCCCTAGCTCCATTTTGCTCTTTGAGAATAGGCTGAGATACTTTGTTTTAATCCTTTCTATCATGGTGACCATGGTAAATTAAAAAGCTGTGTGAGAGAGAAAGACGCCTCTGAGAACAAGCTTCCAGACTGCCTGGAGTAAGGATAACCACAAGCTGGAGTGTTGATACCACACTAAGTCTTGTCGTGGAGGTGCCTGTGCCTCAGTTTCCCAGATGGTGAAGGGCAGTATCTTGCTGTTCACTCTCCTCCTCCCCACAGGTCCTTGCTCTGCCAGCAGAGCTGGCTCTGGAGTGAAGGTGCCCCAGGAGAGGTCGGAGGGACAGAAGCAAGGACTAGGTACACTCCCATCAACTTTTCAAAACACCAAGAGATCCCCAGCTGTCCTGGAACTTGCTACAGTGATCAGCCAGCCTTTGCCTATTGAGTGCTGGGATTAGAAGCACTTAACTCAAGTTAGATCCCTGAGATCCACATGGTGGAAAGAGAGAACTAACTCCTGCAAGTTGTTTGCGGACCTCCACACATGTACGTACACACACACACACACACACACACACACACACACACACACACACAGTGTGCGAGCGCATGCGCGTGCACGCGCAAATTCCCAAGTAAGCACATAAGGTGATCTTAACTCCTCCTTTTGCCTAGTCCTGGCCCAGTAGTCATCGTTATCTTTCTCCCAGCAATTATGCTCGATGGTGCTTCTGCTTAGCTGGGTGAAAAATCCTCATCTTCCAACAGGCTCCCTGGACCCTCTGGGGCTCTCTCCACAGTGCACAAAGCTTTTACTGCCCATTTGGGGTATCACCGCCATCTTGCCTGGTGCTGTTCCCTGTACTATATCTCGATGATGGAGAGTGACGACCTCTACTTCCTACTTTGTCTCAGAATTTCAGGATGGTGCACGAGTGGGAACTCAGCAACCTGTCAAGACTCCACAGAGGTAGTTATCAGAGGGTACAGGTTCTGTGTCCCTGGCCCAGCTCAAAGGTATGGCAATCAAGGCTTTTAGGAACTGGAGGAACCTGGCAACCAAAGACTTCTGGATGAAGTAAAAATGTCCACTGACTCTGATTCAGAAGTCATCTGATTTTTTTCTTTTTCCGTTTTCTTTTAAGGATTTATTTATTTTATTATGTATACAGTGTTCTGTCTGCATGTATGTGTGTGCATCAGAAGAGGGCACCAGATTTCATTATAGATGGTTGTGAGTCACCATGCGCTTGTTGGGAATTGAACTCAGAACCTCTGGAAGAACAGCCAGTGCTCTTAACCTCTGAGCCATCTCTCTAGCTCCACCCCCTTTTTTTTCTTTTTTGATACAGGTTTTCTCTGTGTAGTTCTGGCTGTCCTGGAACTCGATCTGTAGACAAGGCTGGCCTGGAACTCAGAGATCCACCTGCTGCTGCCTCCTGAGTGCTGGGACCAAAGGCGTGGGCTAATACCGCCTGGTGGTCAACTGATTATTAACATGATCACTTCATTTCCATTTAAAATTTTATTACTTGAAAAGAAAACACTCCACAGCACAAACCAATAAAACTTAAAACCTAAATGAGCTCAGTGACAGATTATTAAGGTTCTAGCTCTGCCCCCCAAACCTATACATTAAAAAATCCAAAAGAAATAGAAATGCCAGCTTCAAAAATATTTATCCAAAAAGTAAGGCATCACTTTAAAAAAAGATAATAATTCAAGGAGGGGGAGTGAGAGGCTGGCGGAATGAGAAGGAAGGGATTGAGGGGTGGTCCCTGGTCCTGAACTACAGCCTGAACAGTACTCTGAAGGGCCATAATTCAGCCCAAACCCAGTCTCTCACCCGTTAAGAGTTAGGCGAGCTAGGTGAGAAGTTAGGACACGGGCCAGGCAAAGGCCCCGGGGTTTTCCAGTTTGAGTAGATGGAATGGGGGTCGGAGTCCTGCTTTGCGATTAAAGGAAAGGATCCTGTCCTAGCAGAGCAGGTGTGGGGCTGCCAGGACAAGGCAAACACTGTTACTTCCGGGGAGCACGTCAGCAGCTCTCATGGAAGGGGCTTTTCTGAGGTCTCCAAAGGGAGAGCCATTCTGTCACTGTCCTTCCATCTTGTCCCAAATGGGATAGAAGGATGGTGGTGGGATCATTTGAGTTGGGAGATGGGAGAGGAACTAGCCTTCAGACATCCCCCCAACATGGTCTCCCCAGGGTGAGGGTGAGCACCTCTGGGTAGGGGGAAGCACTCTTCCTTCCAGGGAAGGCATTTAATACTAGGACTGTCCTGAAGGGTAGAACTAGAGAGCATTTTTAGGCTCAGTTCTTGGGGGGTGGGGGAGATGACTTAAGGCTGGTTTGACTCTTAATTTCAGGCCTGAAGGGCTTGGCTTCCAGCGTGGTCCTTGAGCCAAGGTCCAGGGGAGAAAAAGGGTGAGGGTGGCCGGCAGTGCTTGTGGGCGGGAAGAGCTGCTGGGATCGTGAGAGAGCCACTGCTCTCTCACACAGGAGGGGAAGTGTAGCTGAGTCGTTTTGCCCTTTAAAGAGAGATAGATGTCTGTTAGACTGAACTTAAGAAGTCTTTCTGGCTTCAGGGAGCTTTGGCACCACAGGGGGACAGGAAGCAGGAGCAGGGCAGGGCTTGGTGTCAGCAGTCTGAGCCTTCCCCTATGTATTCCACAAGCTTGTCTTAGAGCTGGGGATAGGGTGGTCCTCCTTCTTGGTCCTTAGCTCAGTGAGGAGGAGGCATCCTGAAAGGGAAGTTTCTGGGCAGGGGCCTACGCTGGGCAGTGGAGTGGTAGTGGTACAGGGTGGAGAAGTGAACCCTCTGCCTTTTGGATCCCTAGTGAGTGAAGAGGCATTTGAATCTCTCCAGTGAGTGGTGACACTTGTGTTTGATTTGTCTTCTCCAACCAACTCACTGTGGCTGCTACCTCCTTCCCAACCTGGGCTCAGAACTAGGGAGAAGACACAGTAGTGAGCCCATGTTTCTTAGAGGCACCTAAAGAGCATGGGTCCAGGAGGGAGGGTCTTGTAGGGAACCCACGGCACCTTCAGTCTCCTCTAATCCTTGGAGTGTGTGCAGGCCCGGGTACACTGACCTTGACCGTGGGCCTTGGGGCTGGAAGCAGTTCTTTGGGTACTGTGTGTCACCATGGACACCCAGGTCTTGCCCCTGCCTGACAGAAGTCTAGGTGTAGGTGTGTGTGTGTGTGTGTGTGTGTGTGTGTGTGTGTGTGTGTGTGTGTGTGTGTGTGTGTGTTGGGGACCTAGGCAGGGATGCAGGGCAGAAAGGATGAAGGAGGGAGTGGTCAGGTAAAGGGATGGCAGTCCTCAGGGCTACGGCTGTTCCTCAGAGTCCTGGTCCTTGACAGGAGTAGGCTGGAAGATGGGCTTCTGCTGTTCCTCCTCCATGTCATCGATTGCTTCCTCTGCCCCTGAGTCCCCTTCCACCTGGGGATACACGACCACACACATCTTCTGGCTCACTAGGGTTATTGCTTCTGTGGGAGGGACCAATATAGAAACAAGGTCATTGCTTGGTAAGCTGCTGAACCCATAGTCAGATCACCTCTGGCCAGCTCTTTCACCTCAGCTTCTACCTCAGGATAGCCAGTGACTTTTGGAGAATGGCTTGCCCATGTCCTGCATTTTCTGATGGCTACCTCTCATTTACCAAGACTCTAGCCTTCCACTGACTCCCCTGCCCCCATTCCAGGTTCTCTACCGGTCACCAGTAAGCCTGTAGTGGAACTGATAGATGGCTGGTAGGCTGCCCCAGGTCTGTCTGGGGATGCCAGCTGGTCTTTGGAAGACATCTATCATTCCTGGCCCTGAATCAGGAGCCCTGTGGACTCAAGTGAAGGTAAACCTTGACTTTCTGATTCTGGTAGGGCTCTTCTGATTCTGCTGTGTATCTTCCCAAGAGGCCCTCTCTCTAGCCATCACTTACCAATGACGTCATTGAAACACTTGGGTTTGTGTTGCCAGTAGACACCCAGGAAATAGACAGGTACTCCTGTCAGCATGATAGCCAGGCCAATGCCGCACACCACTGGCTCTGACCACAGGCTGAAGATCAGCAGGAAGGCCCAGAACAGCAAGTAGATGATGGGAAACAGCAGACTGATCTGTGGGACAGAGGTACTGTGATACATGTGGCTCCTAGTGTCCCTCAGGATGAGGGTGCCCTCTCTCTTCTTCATTCTCATTCTTGAGGGCAATGGCTGTGCTTCACTCAGCTCTGTGTCCCAGACTTTAGGCTCTTATAGACGCTATATCAGCAGATGTTGATGAAATAGGGCAGCGGGATAGGGAAGTAAGGCTATTTATTGTTCAGGTCCCTCCCAGGTGAGCTCAGATAAGACCTCATGACTCAATATAAGTGTCTGTGGCAGCCAGAGAAGCTCAGGGGATTGAGAAGCTGGTCAGGATGGTAGTGTCCATTTGCAGAGGTCTCCAGGAAGGGGAGAGGCAGGAAGCAAATGACCTGGATCTGCTTTGGCTTTTATCTTCACACCCACTTCCAGACCAGGTCTCATCTGGATTCACCACTGCAATGCTCATCCCCTCACACTAGGATCAGCCTCAATTTATTTCACTCAAGCCATGGGAGAAGAGAAAGCTGCTTAGTCCCAGGAAGCCAACAGGGCACAAGGTAGCCTAGAACCTGGACTGCATTTTGTCCAGAAGGAAACACTGGCTCCACAGGTGCATGTAAGCCGTACCTTTGACGGTCTTCCTGATCTAGGGGCAGCTGCTCAAGCTGCCTACCTCCCTGTGTGCTCCTCTCAGAATGGGGAGATGACTTCATCTACCTCTCCATTCCTCTAGGAGGTTTTCTAGGAGCGGGAGGAAAGTGGCAGTGAAAACATCAGAGAGATCCAGAGACCACCTTCTTTCTCAGACAGAAGAATCTTCTAGAAGTATCCTGTTTTTAGAACAGGATTCTCAAATAGCTCCAGGTTCTATTCAGTTACCAAAGAACTCTGCACTCCAGTATGCCTTGTTTTGAGCAGTCTCAGAACAGACAATATCAGGTTTTTTTTGTTTTTGTTTTTGTTTTTGGTTTGTTTTCAGTAGCAACCACTAAGTTCACTGAGTCTCCTACTGTGTGTGTAGTCTTGGGAGTTTGAAAAGCAAGGACTATAGACATAGACTGGAAAGCTTCAAGAAAGAGGAGGTGCTTGAGAGCTAGTTGGATATCGGTTAGAATTTAAACAAGCAGGCAGAGGAGACTCACTTTGGAACAGACACATAGTGTAGTGAACCCTGATACTGGAGGAAGAGGGCAGGCAAGAGAACCCTAAAAAGCACCCAGAGTGTAAGATTTAAGAGTGGAGAAAGGAAATAGCTGTCCTATTCACACATGACCAAGAGCCGCAATGATTCGAAGCCCTGCATTGCACTAGAGGCAGTGGAAAAGGGAAGGGAGTCCTCTCACCTTGATGGGCCGAGGGATGTCAGGCTTCTTCCAGCGAAGGACTATCTGTCCCGCAACCGTAACCCCGTAGAACAGGTAGTTGATAAAGCCCACGTAGTTGATGAGTGTGTACATGTCACTGGTGACCAGCATCAGCAGTGTGGAGATGCACTGGAGAAAAATGAGAGTGAAGGAAAGAGACTGGGTTAGAGGATGATCTACCCTTCCAGGCCAGGCGTGCTGTTTATAGTGGACATCCCAAGAGGGGGACTTCACAGCCACCTAGAGTAGCCAAGGATGGACTATACCTTTATTGCCAGGAACTTCTCTCTGCCTTTTTTTTTTTTTTTTGAGATAAGGTCTCTCTATGTAGCCCTGGCTGTCCTAGAACTTGCTATGTAAACCAGGCTGGCCTCAAATTCAGAGATCTGCTTGCCTCTGCCTCCTGGGTGCTGGGATTGCAGTCCATCACTTCTGACTAAGAACGTCTTTCTTATTACAGGGATAAAATCAAAGTATGTAACCACTGTTATGGAGTGGGGGAGTAACCATTCAGAATGGGTGCCCAGATTGGCTATGCTGGTGTGACTAGGCTCTGGGCCACCCTCATCTCACCATATTCACTTCCGATTATGGCTCAAACTAATCAGTTTCTTTTTGTTCTTTTGACCCCTTAGGGAGATCATTAGCTGATAAGTAAGGCTTTATTCTTATTATTGTCACTTTCTCTTGGCTGAGTAATCTAATTTACTCTTCTCTTTAGCCAGGCGATGGTGGAGTACACCTTTAATCCCAGCACTGGAGAGAAGGCAGGCGGATCTCTATAAGATCTGAGGACAACCTGGTCTACAGAGTGACTGGACAGCCAGGGCTACACAGAGAAACCATGTCTTGAAAAACCTAGGGGAAGAGGAGATTAAACAGTAACATATAGTAACAATAGCCAAATAGCATTCTACAAATACAAACTCATTTAAATCTATAAGATCCCTATGAGGTTTTCTCAATGGAAGTGGCTTTCCAACTTCAAAGTCACCTCTGTGTCTCTCTTGGAATGCACTATTGAGGAGAGGCACTATGCATGCCTCTGAGCACCAGTTTCTCCATACCTGACAGCAGATAAGGCCTCAGATACAGTCAGCCTTAGTGTCCAAGCAGCTGTGAGAAACATCCACTACTAATTATGCACTAGAAGCCACCCTGGATAATCTGTGAAGGCCAATGAGGCTTAGTTCTCCCGTTGGATCTGATGGTAACTGGATTTTAGTGGGTGAACAGGTCATATTCTCACTGTACCTGCCTTGTAGTCATAGAACTGCAACTCACAGCTGAGAAAAAGCCATGTGACTCACGGAAAATACTGTCCTCCGTCTCTTTCTGCAACTGTCCTAACAAGATGACCTTCATTCTGTATCTGCACATTCTGGAATTCTCACAGTGAGCTCCATTACCTTGACTACTGACCACCTCCCTTGGGGATCAAAGTAAATTTGTTTTTATTGTTTTGAGACTGGGTCTCTCTTCTTAGCCCTGGTTGGCCTGGGACTTGTTACAGAGCTGGCTTCAAATTCAGGAAATCTGCCTGCCTCTGCCTCCCGAGTGATGGGATTAATGGTGTGAGCCACCATGTCTGGCTCAAAGTAATTTGTAATGTTTTATCCCAGGATTTAAAAGGAAAATAAAATTAATTCAAAAAATCTATTGAGGACAAGTCTTTGCTTCTTCCTTTAACTCTCTAGAGTCGTGATTCTCAACCTTCCTAGTACTGTGACCCTTTAATACAGTTCCTCATGTTGGGGTGACGCCTAATGATAAAATTATTTTCGTTGTTACTTCATAACTGTAATTTTGCTACTGTTATGAATTGCAATGTAAATATCTGATATGCAACCCCGTGGGGGTCGTGACCCACAGGTTGAGAATTGCTACTGTAAATGATTCTGTGCTTTTTTGACTCCATTTCCTTTCCCCACCTTCAATTTATGAGTTTTCCTCTGTCTGTAACTTTTCTTTTCACATGTGCCCTGAACTAGATTTATTTTGATGGCATTTTCCAAGAGGCAGGGAGTGGTAGTGGTGAGCATGTGCTGTGACTAGCTGAAGGAGAAGCCTCAACACTGTACCCTTGTAGCAGGTGCCAGTAAGGCCAATAACAGAGACATGCGTTCGTGAGGCTGTGGTATCCCATGTCTTTTTAGTCTGACTCAATAGGACAGGAGACTGAAATCGAGCCAGCCTGAGAGTTGTGGGTGTTTTAGCCTGGGATCGTTTCTAATTATATCTCTTGACATTCACAGAGCATTGGCGGCACGTGCAGGCTTAGCTGGGGTTTACTGAAATGCAGAGCTCCACCAGAAGGGGGACAGGTGTGTGTGTGTGTGTGTGTGTGTGTGTGTGTGTGTGTGCGCGCCCATGTGCGGGCAGAGAGTGTGAATCTCAGTCATGACTAGGCATAAAGCGAGGGGAAGGATCTGTGGGAGGCCAGCAGTGGCAGGGGACCTTACTGTGAAGAGCAGTGCTGGGATTGGGGTGCAGCGTTTCACGTGGATCATGGCCAACACGCTGGGAAGGTGGCCTTCTCTGGCTCCAGCAAAGAACAGCCTGGCAAGGAGAAAAGTAGGTCAGCCTGGGATAGCCTGGGAACCACTAAGCCTAGGCTCTCTCATCCATGCCCACCTTTGGCCCACACAGTGGCATCCTCCACCAGCCAGGACTTGCCTTTGTGCCACGCTTTCCAGCCCACTAGTCACAGGACCTATGTTCACAAATGCAGGCACAGGCAGACCAGAGGCAGCCAGTGGGCAGGTGGACGGATATTAGGCATGTCAACACTGAGAGTATGATCTGGCCGGCTCAGGGCAATGCACAGTCATTCCGAATCATTCCCATGTTTCAACGCTACAGCTTGAACAGCTTCCCTGCCCTTATTATTTCATTTTTGGTTCTTTGAGACACATTCTCATGCCGTCTATGTGACCCTGAACTTCCCCGTAGCAAAGACAGGCTTAGAATTCCTCCCGCCTCCATTTCCTGAATACCGGCATTAGGCCTGTCCCTTTGCCTGGCTATGCTTCTCCTTTACATGAGAGCCTTCTGACGCTCAAGGGCTACTGATTCCCTTGCACACAGCTCTGAGCTAGCTGTGTAACCAGTTCGAGAGTAACCAGATCGAGTGCTAGGATAGGCTCCAAAGCTACACAGAGAAACCCTGTCTCGAAAAAACAAAACAAACAAACAAACAAACAAACAAAAATCCTTGTGAGGATGGAGAGGGGCCATGGGCTGCAAAAGGACAGGTGGGACCTGGGAGAGTCAGTAAAAGTCTGGGGTTATCTTCTTTGGTGTCTATAACCATCACAACTTATCAATCACACTTAAAGTTTGTGCATTTTACTGTATATACATAGCACTTAAAATTTGTACCCTTAGAACTACTCATTCTATTCCCAAGAAGCCTTCTTTAGAAAAACAAAAATTGAGAGGTACTGAAAGGTACGTACACAAAAAGGCTCTGGCAGTGAGCCAAACAGCAAATGACCTCCATGCTTAAAATCATGAGAGTGGCTAAAGAAATTAGGATATATGTGTAATTGTGAAGTAAAGAAAAATCATGTCTTTTAAAGAATTTTCTTTATTTTTGTTTCATGTGCATGGGTATTTGTCTGAATGTGTGTCTGTGCACCATGTGCAGGCAGTGTTGGTGGAGGCCAGAGGAAGGAGGCAGATCGTTACAGATGGTTGAGCCGCCGTGTGGGTGCTGGGAGTTGAATCTGGGCCATCTCTTTAGCCCTCAAAATCATGTTTCTGAAGAAAATGATTCTGTGACAGCATGCTCACAATATAACATCAAACAAAAATACAGTCTACAAAACTGTGATCCTGAGCCGAGGGTAGTGACATATGCCTTTGAACCCAGCACATCAAGCCTGAGAGGGAGGATTTCCAGTTTGAGGTTAGCCTTATATGATGAGACCCTGTCTCACAAACGGGGAGGAGGCTAGAGGGCTGGCTCATTGGTTAAGAGCACTTGTTGCTCTTGCAGAGGAACTTAGTTCAATTCCCAGCATCCACATGGTGGCTCACAACCACTTACAATTCCAGTTTCAGGGGGACCTGACACCCTTTTCTGATTCTGTGGGTGCTAGGCATGCACACGGTGCTCAGACATAATGTGCAGTCAAAGGGCATACATATTAAAAAGCAATAATCTAATTATTAATTAAAAGTAATAATCTAAAAATAGGGGGTGGTTATACGCCTTTAGGAGGGGAAGGAGATAGTGGGGACAACAGAGACATAGAGATAGACACAGAGAGCATAACATTAAAGCGGCCCCTTCCTTCCTTCTTTCCTTTCTCTTTATGCTTCTTCCAAACAAAACAACCCACCACTGCCAGCAGTCCTTTACATATTAGCATTCATAATTTGTTTTCTTTAAAAGTTTTGATTTCACTTATTTACTTTGTTTGTTTGTTTGTGTCTATGGCACACTTGTGGAGGTCAAATGACAACTTGTAGGAGTCAGTTCTCCCCTTCTACCCCTGAATTGGGTTCCTGAGGGTCAAACTCAGGTCATTAGGCTTGGAAGTATTGCCTTTACCTGTGGAGCCATCTACTTTTACTTTTCTCTAGGTGGTCCCCAGTGGATGAGAGGAAGGTGACAGACAGTGTGACAGTGCACAGGCTGTTGCTGTTTGTAGCCCAGGCTGGCCTGGAAGTCTTGGACTCTTGATTTAGCCTTCTGAGGTCTGACATCAGAGGTATGTGCCCCCATACCTGGTACAGACTGGGGATTCTAAGAGAGCTGCCACTCCATGCTTTGTATACAGGGAAGAATGGTGCTAACAGCAGCTGCTCAGAGGAGCGGGAGCTGACTGTGACTCCAAGGACCCACAAGCAGGTGTCACCATGAACTATTCAGGCCAGCTTCCCTAATTTCATGCAGACACATGCAGCCCCTCCCTCCCTTCTTCCATGCTATGGTCTTTTCCAGCCAGCCCAGTGTCATGCACTAGATTGAGCCTAGGGGACTCTGTAGGCTTCATCATGCACATATCCAGGCTCTCATTCATATCCTCCTCCCATACAACCAGGACCAAGTGTAACTGTCCAGGTCCAACAGCCCCATGTCAGGTTCACAAGCTAGGAGACAAAGGAGAGTATGATGGCTCTAAGTAACACACACACACACACACACACCACACACACACACACACACACACACTGCTTGCTCAGCAAGGACCATCTAAATTCAAACTAAGACATAGAAGGATGAAAGAGTGGAGGGAAGTAAGGATGAGAGAAGAAAGTAGTATTTGAGCAGAGGTGGCCTGGGAAGGGAGGCCGTTCCTCTGGCGTCTCCTGCATGCACACACGACTATGCTCATGCACGCAGACCACTGTGTGGCATGCCTGAGGGACAAACCCCAAACTAAAGCGACTGTAGCCAGCCACTCTCCTCCAACAGATCCCAGGGAGCCTCCTGGGTCACTGCTCTTCCACTGCTCGCCCTCTGCTAGGGCCTCCAGGTGGCCACGGCTCCTGTGTTACATGCACACGAGGTTGCTAGGGGTGAGTGTGCGTCCTCCTCTTTATTGCTCTGGATCCTGAAAACATGGAAGTCTCTGTCATCTCACAGGAACTTCTCTGTGATGCGACAGGTGGCTTGGGAAACAGCTGAGCCCAGACTTGTCTTTTGAATAGGATTGTGCTCCTAGGGCACAGAAAACCTACGGGCCACACAAATAGTAACCCTTTGACAGCCATTCTAGAGATGGCAGGAAGGGACATAAAAGAGGGGCCTGATCCCTGGATAGACAGAAGGAAGCCTCCAGAGCCCACTTACATTTCTGGCTTCCCAATTCTGGGTTGTGGTTGTGGCTACTGGATCTCTCACTGACAAAAGTTTCCTTTCTGCTCTTCCCTATCCAATCTGTGACAGCCTCTGCCTCTTGAGTAGGGAGTAGTCCTACATCCCAGGGATCTCATCCCAGGCGGAGTCTGGCTCCAGACATCCATGAGAGGCCAGATCCAGAGGCTTCAAGTATAAGAACCCTTCCAGGTCCCTTTCAAAATAGGGTTTCTTCTGGACAGTAGTTGACAAGGGGGGAAGCAGATTCTAGGAATGTAGTCAAGATACAATCCTGCTGCCAAAACAAGGCGGCTGCCACCTGCGCACTGCAGATTGTAGGTCACCCTGCGAACAGTAGACCCTCCCCTAAGCACACACACTGACATGCAATACTCCTGCAAAGCTACCACCGAGGAGGTTGCATAGACCCCTGCTGAAGACAAATTCATCAAATACACACAAGCAATGGAGGCAGAAAAGTGGCCCGGGAAGGGCCAGGGAAAACACTCACCGGGAGGAGGTGAAGAGCGAGCCGTTGACTCCTCCGAATGTGGACAGGGCAACGGAAATGGGCATGATCCAAGCCATGACCCCTAGAAGCTTCTCTCCAAAAGTCTGGGGAAGAAGACAAGACGTGAATTACGAGAAAGAGACCTATTCCAGCTTGCTCCTCACTTCCGGTGTGCCTGTCTCCCATCTACCCTGCTGATCCTCTCTGAGAACCCGGGTCCAGACTACCATGCTGCAGGGGCAGCTACACATCAGGAACACGTGCTGTGGGCTAATTAACTCAGAGGGCCAGGGTATGGTGGTGATAACAGCAATGAACACTTATCCTTCATTACAAATGGGGAAACTGAGTCCCTTAGTGATCTACAGCTTACCTCAGATCATACACTGGGGCAATGGAGGGGTCAAGATTGGAGGCCAGGTGCTGTAAGTCTAGCCTGTGTACACTACAGAGTTCTCTGTACATGGAGGTACACAGACTTAAGGGTCAGATTCGAATTCAAATCCCAATACCACCTTGAACAGGCTTGCGTGTGTGTGTGTGTGTGTGTGTGTGTGTGTGTGTGTGTGGTTGTGTGTGTGTGTGCTAGGGATCAAGCACAGGATCTCACTTGTACTAGGCAAGTACTCTACCACTGAACTATTCTCTCTTGGCCCTGAGTTTGTTATTCTTGAGCCTTGGTTTTCTATCTACAGAACAGGAATGAACCCAAGTTAGAGTTTCTAAAGTCACAGAGGCAGGTTCTGTTGGTAGGAAAATAAAGACTGGCTAGTTTCTCTAGCTGACAAGGGCATGGTTCTGAAATTGTCGATGGGCCCTCATGTACATATACATGTGTACATAAAGTTTAGGGGACCACCTTTTCTGGAGTCTCTGAGCCAGGCTTATAGTATGAGCCAGGGAGGTGATATCTAGAACAGATGTCCTGTTGCGCATGGGAGGCTGCAGGATTTAAGAGTAGATGGCCACAGGAGATGGCAGGGCATCTTTATTTTCAAAGATGAGACGAGAGATGGCAGTGTTTGGTTTGAAGCTAGGTGAAGATATAGCATGGCTCCTAGGCCTACCTCAGATATTAGGGCTTTGTGATCTCTTTGCCCAAAGAGCATAAGTCACTCTGATTTCTGAATTATTTGCTGGTGTGTGTGTGTGTGTGTGTGTGTGTGTGTGTGTGTGTGTTGCTGGGGATGGAACACAGGGCCTTGCTTATTCTGGCAAGCACTGAGAACATCAGAGAAAGAAGGACAGAGAATCAGTGTGTCTTGTGCAAGCATATGTCTCTGTGAAGAGCGGTCTGTCTTCTTACATAACCTGAATGCTTAGAGTGCCCTAGAGCAGGAGTCAGTGAACTTGTTCTGCAAAACATTAGATATTTCAACACCAAAAGCCATATAGACTCTGTGGCAACTTCTCAGGTAGCCATGGTAGCTGTTTTGGAACTAACCCAGCCATTGGTTTGCTCCCAGGCTCTTGAAGGACACGTGTAAATTTGACCCTGAGGAGGTGGATGACTTTCAATTCTATAAGGCACTGGATCAGGGAAAAGCAAGTGGGCTAAGTTGGCAGGTCAATATCAGTGTCCTGGGTCTGGGACCCAGAGTGATTTCTTACCACAGCGACTGCATTTGAGGCCAGCAGCTCCTGGGGGGACATTGCAGTGACATACGCGACATTGGCAAAGACATACACAAATGTGACCAGTGGGATGGAGATGAAGATGGCTCTGGGAAGGTTCCTGTAGAGGGAGAGGAGGTGAGAGGGAAGCCCATACCAGGGATGTGTTCTGCTAGGGGACCTCATGAGCCTAGACTTGCAGCTTCTTGGCCCTTCCTCTCTCTGGGAGGCAGGTTTGACTCGGGTGGGGCAGAATTACTTAGAGGAAATGGAACAGCTTAGACTACTTATCTCTTCTTGACTTAGATCTGGACCATGCATGCTTTCTGCTGCTTTAAGACATAAGGTTGGGCCTGGCCCCCAACAGCTACAACTCCGAGACTTCTGGGGCAGCTCCTCCTCTACAGCCACCACGCCAGCCTGCACAGCTTTCTGTTTTTCTTCTTTTTTGGTTTTCCAAGACACAGTTTCTCTGTGTAGCCCTGGTTGTCCTGGAACTCACTATAGACTAGGCTGGCCTGGAACTCACAGATTTGCCTGCCTCTGCCTCCTAAGTGTGTGCCACCACTGACCAGGCCAGCTTTGCGATTTTTTGCTTGCCTTAGGAAAGTCAGCGAACCCTTTCTCTTCTCTTAGCAAGGCAGACAGTAAATGGTTCAAATTCCTGGGAAATGAACTGCTCCTTCATGGAAGGGCAGGACAGGTCCAGGACAGGGGCAAGAGATGGATCTATGTTCCCTTTCCCCAGGATGGGCACTGTGTGGCCTAAGGTGACTGGAAGAGCTGGCCTCTCCACTCACTTGTAAGGGTCCACAAGCTCCTCAGTCACGTAATTAAGGAAGTTCCAGCCTCCGTAGGCAAAGGAGCCCTGCAGGAAAGCCAGAGCGATGAGGCCGATGTCAGGTTCTTGGAAGTTCTCAAATGCATTCTTTGGCTCCAGCCAAAAGAACTCTCCTGTGGGCACAACAGGCAGGAGGCTGCTCAGAAAGGTGAGCTCAGGCTAGCCCCTGGCCACCCCTCCCCTGTGGTGATATACCCACTCCTTGTCTGTTCTTCAGCAAGCCGCTGTGTGAGAGAGGAGAGGTAAGAGGAGTGGGAAAATCCAGGTCCAGGACTTCTCGGACCCTGGCACCTCAGAACCACGAGTCCAAACAAGGGTTCAGGTTCAAAGCACATTTCAGAATGTCCTTTTTATTTTTATTTTATTTAGCCCTGGCTGTCCTGGAACTCACTCTGTACACCAGGCTGGCCTTGAACTCACAAATATACCTCTGCTTCAGCCTCCTGAGTGCTGGGATTAAAGGTGTGTGCCGCCATGCCTGGCAGAATGGCTGGGAAGTTCATGTGACTAGGGAGGCTAGCATCAACGATAGTCTTCTTGACTACTTTCCCTGATATATATTTGCGTTTTTATGAAGAAAGCATAAGGAACAGCCGACACTCAAACGTAAGCTCACACAGAGCTCTAGTGTCCTGTCAGCTGGAGCACATTTTGCTTGTTTTGCCTATAGCCCCTCATTTGCTACGGGATATCTGGTCTCCATCGGGGTCCTTCCGTGAGGAGCCTTTAAGCAGCCTTCCCAGTATTTACAGTGCTCAGAGACTGTGGACGCTGGGGGCTGGGCTGGAGAAATGGCTCCCGAACTTCAGAGCACTTGCTGCACCTGCACAGGACTCAGGGTTGATTCCCAACAGCCAACTCCAGTCTCAGATGATCCAATGCCCTCTTCCGGTTTTAAGGGCACTACACATATACGTGTGCAGGCAAAACACTCATACATATAAAATAAAATATTTTTTTTTTTTTTAGTTTTTTGTTTGTTTTTTCTGGGCTGAAGACATAGCTTTGTAGTAGAGTGTTCCCAGCATATGCAAAACCCTAGGTTTAAGTACACACACACACACACACACACACACACACACACACACACACACACACCACATATCTCCACAGCTGCTGACTAAAAAGGCTGAGAGAAAGCAGAGTATTGGCTGTGTTATTTAGACATCTGTAACCCAGCATTAGGACAGGAAACCAGGAGAAAGAATTGAGATCAGGTTAGGAAGGATTCATTATCTTTGAAAAGATAGGACAATGTTTCCTAAGCCTAGATTGCTGAAAACAATACCCCCTTCCCCCATGGGCTCATCAGGCTGATGAAAACCATCAAGGGCAGTATCTTGCACAAACTATTGTCTGCAGGGTCTCCGCTCTGCCTTCAGAGCTTGTGGGCAGACAGGAGGTGCTCCTGTTTGTCATTTTATTCTCTCCAAGAGGCAGTGACGCTGTGCAGAGCCCAGCAGCGCTGTGGGTCCCATGGAAACCAAATACAGATCAAATCCAATGGGGAATGTTGGCAGAGGCCTCAAGAATGTAGAGCTCTTTCCCCAGAGATTATGAGTAATATTGAAATACATAAAATTCTCCCCTTCTGTTCCTCATTTTAAAATATTAACAGAGTACAACAGAACATGTAAGGAACGTCTTCCCTGGGGCTGTGATAAAATAGCAACTGAGTTCAGAGATCTGGGGCCCTTGCTTAGCTGTATTAGTCGACAGGCAAGTGTGGATCTTTGCAAGATGGCGTATGGGAGTGGAGGTGGGCAGCCCTAACCCTGAGGAAAGCAGTTTTTCATCTTCTTTGTCGAGGAAATGGACAACAGAAGTCAGTCTAACACACAACCGGGAAATCTCAGGATGTGTCCAGGCAAGGATTGGGTGAAGAGTTGTGTGGAGTCCTGTGGTTCCCACGACATTTACCTTTGCATATCTGCACAACACCCATGATAATGATCAGGGCCAGGGCCAGGAGCTTCCCAGCTGTGAAGATGTCTTGAACCCGGGTGGCCCATCGGACACTGGAGCAGTTGACCCATGTGAGCAGCACTGTAATGACAACACCAGATAGGCCCTCAGAGGCTACAGGACACAGTGCTCTTGTCTCCCAATCTCACACCCACAGCCCCAGTGACCAGAAACTTTGACTGGGTTAATAGGTTACAATGAGGATTACATGCTCCAAATTAGAGCTTGGTCAGAGCGTTCATTCCCCGTCCCGGGCTAGAAGCCAGCTAGGCAGGGATGTGTGGGCACTGACTCAGGGGAGACTTACTCATGACCAGGGTACAGGGTGGACTCAGCAGTCCAGTTATCATCTGTTCATGGGGAATCCTGAGCTGCTAGTATAATCTTGGATATTTCCTTACTGAACTTGGTTCTGGGGCAGCAGAGGGTTAGGGACTCTTGTTACTTAGGTTTATTAAAGTATAAAATTCACCTTAAAGCAACAAGCAACACCAACAAAATTTGTGCCCTCCTGACTCAGCCTCCTCTTGAAGTGTCTGAATTACAGGTTTGTGTCACCACATCCACCTCAAAATTCACCTTCTTCCTCTTTTACTTATTTTTTGTGTGTAAGGGGGTGGTTTCGAGACAGGGTTTCTCTGTGTAGTCTTGGAACTCACTCTGTAGACCAGGCTGGTCTCGAACTCACAGAGATCCACCTGCCTCTGCCTCTCCAGTGCTGGGATTAAAGGTGTGTGCCACCACTGCCCGGCCCATAATCTCTTAATATGGGAAAATAATGTGCTTCCGGCCTTGGCTTCTCATGAAGATCAGGAGATCACACTTATCTGGGGACCTGAGGGGCTGGGGGTGGGTATCCATCATTTGGAGAGAGGGAGTATGGAATGGTTTCTCTAATCTCCCAACTCATCTCCCTCACACCTGAAAGAGAGTCCACAGGAAAGCCAAACATTCTTTCAGACGCAGGTGGCACATATTCCTTATCCTGGCAGCTGTGACCCTGAGGCAGCATTGCAAGCTGATCAGCCTAGGCTACTTGGTGAGACCATACTTCACAACAACAACAAAACATTTGCCTCTAAATCCTTTTATTATTTTTATCTTAATTTATCTATGCGTATCTAAATGTGTGTATGCTACCAGTGTGTGGGTGTCCTTGGAGACAAGATGAGGCCATTAGGTTTCTTAGAGTGAGCTTGAGGTGGTCGTGACCTACTCAGTGGTGGTTGGGAACTAAACTTGGGTCCTCTGGAAGAGAAGCAAGTGCCCATAACTGCTGAGTCAGCTCTTTAGACCCTACACCTTGTTTAGTTATTAGAAAACAAAAACAGCAACTTTATTTTAGCCAGATGTGGTGGCACATGCCTTTAGTCCCAACATCTGGGAGGCAGGGGCAGGGGCAGGGGCACCAGCCAGCACTACATAGTGAGACCTTGTCTAAAAAACACCTTTATTTTTATTACTATTGTACATGTGGAGGGGGTCACATGTCATGGTGCCATGTGAGGGGTTCAGAAGGCGACTTTGAGGAGTTGGTTCTCTCTGTCTACCTCCACATGAGCGGTGAGGATTGAGCTCATGTCACTGGGTTTGTGGGGCAAAAGCCCTTCTGCAGAACCACCCCTTGAGCAGCCTCAGGATGCATCTAAGTCTCCAGGTAGAGTTTTTGTTGCTTGTGAGTAACTGGGGCTAGGATTCTGGTCATACAGTAAGTGCACATTTCATTTTAGAAGAAATTGTTGTGTGTTTCCAGTGATGAATGTCAGCAAGTTCTCAAGTGCCTGTCTGCCAGCTGTTTGTCTATGTTCTTTGGTGGCATGGGGTGGGAGGTGTCAGGAGTCACAGTGCTTTGAACAATGTTGAACCTGATAGGTTAGCCAAGTGCAAAGAGGCCAAATGCTAGGCAAGTGGGCTCTCTGCTTTACCCCTGCTCTGTCTAGGCAACTCTCAGGAGCTATGGCTTGCAAAGGAATGTTTTTGTTCTGTTTTGAAGACAGGGTTTCTCTGTGTAGCCTTGGATGTCTTAGAACTCGCTCTGTAGACCAGGCTGGCCTTGAACTCAGAAAATTGCCTGCCTCTGCCTCCAGAGGGCTGGGATTAAAGATGTATATACAACTGTGCCTGGCAAAAGCATGATTCTTAATTTCCAGACTATTGCAAAGTACTTGAGAACAAAGGAAGAAAATACCCTCCTGGCTCGCCTTTTCTGGAAATAGTGGTCAGGTACTCTCTAGTGTTTGAAACTTACATGCAACACTGTAAAAGCAAAGGGCCACTTCTGTCTTTCATGCCTCCCAAGGGTTCTGACTTTGCTCAAATGCTAAATGACAGCAATATCTTATCCTCAAGTGGACTCCTATTTTCCAAGTGTTTCCCAACCCTGCTAGGTCCTGGGGGCATGTCAACAAAGCAGGAAGGTCCTGCATTACCAGCTATCTGTGATCTTCTCCACCGCATTGTTTGGAGTTGGCAAGCTCCTCGCACCTTTCCAGACCTACCTGTTCCATGAAGCTTTGTGATTTTATTGATTCCTAACAACAGGCCTGCAAGGTAAACTGTATCAGTCACATTTTATAGACAAGGCACAAAGTTTGTCCTTCCTGGATCGAACAGTCCTACACCATTTTGCTTTATATCTCATCGTAGTACCTATTCATATTAAAGTTATCGGAGGCAGGGGGACTGCTCTGAGTTCAAGGCTACCCTAAAGTACATATCTAATACTGGGCTAGCCAGGGCTGCAGTTAAAATTCTGTCTTAAAAAATTATGGGGCTGGAGAGATAGATGGCTCAGAGGTGAAGAGCACTGACTGCTCTTCCAGAGGACCTGAGTTCAATTCCCAGCAACCACATGGTGGTTCACAACCATCTGTTATGAGATCTGGTGCCTTCTTCTGGTGTGCAGATATACATGGAAGCAGAATGTTGTATACATAATAAATAAATAAAATCTTAAAAAAATTATATATATGGCCAGACAGTGGTGGTGCATGCCTTTAATCCCAGCCTTCAGGAGGCAGAGGCGGTGGATCTCTGTGAGTTTGAGGCCAGGCTGGTCTACAGAGTGAGTGCCAGGACAGGCTCCAAAGCTACAGAGAAGCCCTGTCTCAAAAAACCTGTCTCAAAAAACTGAATATATATATTCAGTTTCTTTTTATCTTTTTCACGTCTTTAACTCCCAAACATCTCATCGGTGCAATAGCAGATGCACAACAAATATTTAATAAAGGAAGAAAATGCCATGATCCATTAGTTCTCTAATCTCCGAATTCCATGTGCATACCATTCTCTCCTGTTCCCTTAGAATTTCATTAATCGGGCAGACAATCCTTAATTGTTTTCATAGAGTTGAAAGAGTAACGGGAAGTCTGACTTTTGAGAGTAGGAACTCTTGATTCCTCATGCAAGAGCTATTAGCCAGTCTATTAGCCACAGCAGAAGAATCAAAACATGTTCCTGGAGGAAGGATTTTAAGTCCCTGAACAGGGAGCACATTTTGTAAATACTAGAATGTTCCAGATGGACAGAGATCTTGATAAATACACATTTGGTTATCTTACTCAATTCAGTAAGGATTTCAGGGTCACGTGCCTGGTGATAATCCAACCCAAATCACTCTAAACAACTTGACCGTGACCTCATCTTCTCCCCAGGGCCCTGAGATATGCTGGGTACAAGGCCAGGTGTCCCATACCCAGAAATCCAGGCAGCAACAGCAGTGATGACTAAAGGGTGAAGGAGACCGACTTATAAAAAGAAGACTAGAAAACAAAACCCACGTGGCTTAGGAATGGGTAAGGATTACAAAGTAAGGGCTTGTGTCTTGACCCCTCAACTTCCCCAGACCAAAACCATCTTCCACCAAGGGAAGGCGAAGACAGGGTGGAGAGATGACAAGAAAGTACTTGAGGAAAAGCAGAGCTGGGCAAACTCACAGGAGTTTGCTAATCAAGAAGGAGAATCCCTCCCTGACTCCCTATGTGCTGGGACAGAAAACATAAAATCCTCTTTACAAGACTCAGGGTGACTGAGGTGACCAAAGGACAGGTGTTTTGTCATGTAGTCTTGTTGTTAATGTCTTCTTTTACTGCCAGTCTTCACAAGAACTCAGGGCCTTGACTAATATTTAACTTTTCAGTGTCAAAGAGATGTTTCAGAAGTAAGACAACTGCTGAGGAGTTGGGTTGGGCAGATTGCCTGTGCCCCCTAATCTCTTAGAACAATGCTGCAGGTCCAAGGCTTACCCTTCACCCTGCAGTTGGGCCATCACAGCACGTGACTGAGAGGAGAGAGGGGACTTTGAGTCTCCTGGTACAGCAGAACAGCTTCCTTCACAGCAGCTGAAACTTGAGCCTCCAACCAGAGAGGAAAGGTCAGAGAGTGAAGGCAATACTTGCTGGGTGTTTGCCAAGGCCTTGCTGCATAGGAGGCCTGGTGCTGCCCATCTGCTACCCAGCACCCCTTTCTGCTGCCAGCGACTATGTTCTCTCTGTTTCTGTGCAGCTAGACCCCGACTTCTGCACACCTGGAATCTAGTGACTTCAGGAAAGCCACATGTAGATGGGACCAGTGATTCTAAAGCTTGAAATGGAATGGTTTCTATCCACCCATCACCTATCTACACAGGGTCTACCAGGGCCAGGAACGCTGGTAATGTGAGTGAGCTGAGAGACAATTAAAAGCTAGACATTGTGGTGCAAGCCTGTAATCCCAGCACTCAGGAGGCTGAGGCTGGAGGGCTGACATGAGTTTGAGGCCAGCCATGGCTGCTTAATGAGTTTCAGGCCAGCCTGAACAATAGAGATTTTGTCTTAACTACTTCCATCAACACCCGCCCCCAAATCTGAAGCAAAACAGAAAGGGTGAGCACAAAACAATGTGTTGAGAGCAGAGCCAGCATGGGAGTCAGCCAGTGTCCATACTGGATCTCAGCCAGCCCAGGGCATCCTGCGGAAGGGGGTCCCAGCAATGTGAGCTTTACAGCTTTAGTCTAGCTAGGAAAAATAATGGAAAATTCTAGTTCTTGTTAATGGTAACCTATTCCAAGTGGTCACTGGTCTCTGGAGCTCTGTGGAATTCCA